CATTCGTCTAGAGGCTTGATTCATTTGGGAAATATGGTCAAATTCAAACTTTTTTTTGGGTGAAATGTAGATCTTCACTGAAAGCTTCATAATTTTAAAACAAAAAAAACGGGTTTTCTTGGGAAACGTTGAAGAATAGAGACTTGGAAGCAAATCATAGCAATGCAGTTAAGATTTTAATAGTAATCTTAAACAGGACTTATCTTGATAACTCAAATTATCTTTTTTTTTTTCTGTGTACAGTTTTTGTTAAAAGAGAAAAAGTATTTTGCCTGTCATTATTGTTTAGCTAACTTCTCTTTTTTGTGGATAACTTCTGCTCTCTTTGCTGTTTTGATTTTCAATTTTTGCAGTTATATAATCCCTGTGCCAGTAATAGAACATTTTATAGCTGGTGTAGAAGAAACTGGAAAGTATGTAGGATTCTGCTCTTTGGGTCTATCATGCCAGCCTACTGAAAACGTTCAACTACGGAATCACTTCCGGATGCGCGCTGAAATGACTGGTGTACTTGTCAGCAAAATAAATCCTCTGTCTGATGCACACAAAGTCCTGAAGAAGGATGATATAATTCTTGCCTTTGATGGTGTACCTATAGCTAATGATGGAACAGGTAAATTCTTTTCCCCCTTTAGTGGTGTTCTGATAATTGGGATTTCTACTTTTTTGCTTAATTCATAACATTACTTGCATTCTTTGCAGTTCCTTTCCGAAACAGGGAGCGGATAACATTTGATCATTTGGTATCCATGAAGAAACCCAATGAAACAGCTTTAATTAAAATTTTGAGGGATGGTAAAGAGTATGAGTTCAGCATGACTCTAAGACCTGTAAGTCAAGATTCAGTATTATCATTATTCTTGATACAGGATAATTTGTTTGTCTCGCATCGAGTTTTCTTTTTAAACTAGACACCAGGGCTCTTCCTGATGTAAAACAAAATAAGGTTGATTTGCCTACTTAGAAAGAAAACCTAGATATCACACCTGAGATTTGATTGAATTACAAAATCAAATATTCAGAAGCTCTCAAAATATTTTATTGAATAACTGAAGTTTGACTAATAAATGAGATTATAAAAGCTATTTATAATGACTTCTTAATTGATCTTTTCCAAAATGAGATTAAATTAAGAAATATTAATACTAAAGAGGATTGGAAAATACTTTTACTGATAAAAGTAGTCAGTTCCTCCATATGGCACAAAGTTTATTCATAGTTGGCACACATTTTCTAATTGTTCTCTTTCTTTCCCTGAACAGTAAAAACATGATCCTGTAAGTGAATTTTCTAACAGATGCATATATATGTGGATGTAGAGATTTTTTATGAGAATTTAGTTAAAACTTAGAAGCTAAGAGAAGAAAAACTTGATCCACAATTCATGTTAACTAACAATAAAACTTGCAAAAAATAAGAAAATGTTGTAAATACAATATGTAACTCAAAACATATGCATATATATTTGGACAGGAATATCTTTTTTTATAAAAATTTAGTTAAGAGTAAAAAGTAAGAAAAGAAACTTTTGATACATAATTTGCAAATACAAGTGCATGTGTTTTTGTATTCCTTGTGAATTATGGGACCTCCATTATCTAGTTGTACATAATCCAGTGTTGATGTTGATATCAGCACAGTAGGTTCTAGGAAAATGAATGAACTTATTAATGCTCTTGTATGCATTTTTGTTGCATGGTTCGTATTTATGGTCTCTCTTTTGACTTTTGATTACTTAGTTTGTGTTAGGTGATGTTCTATTATCCTAGTTCTTCAATAATTTGTATTTATTGCATGAAAGGACTTTCTGAGTTTGCAAAATAATAAGTGTGAATATCTTTAAGAGTGAATATATTACCTGTTTTGGGTTTATTTTAATATTTTACTTAGTAATTAAAGGTTACTTGTTTTCCAGTTGCTGCCACTAGTTCCAGTTCATCAATTCGACATGCTTCCAAGTTATTATATTTTCGCTGGCTTGGTTTTTGTGCCACTCACTCAGCCATACCTGCATGAATATGGAGAAGACTGGTATAATACTTCACCACGTCGGCTATGTGAACGTGCACTAAGGGAGCTGCCGAAAAAGGCTGGTGAACAATTTATCGTCCTTTCCCAGGTCTGCAGGTTTCTTTGAAAAGAGAAGTGCATTATAGCTACTTAAGGGGAAAAAGTCCTGCTGTAAAAAAAATTAGACTCCAGTAATTAACTTTAAAAATCAGGAGAAAAAAATGGAATTCTGGTTCCCGTTTTGATAAAATCTAAAACAAATTTCCCAAGAAAACCTGTTATAATTGAAGCTGTCTTAAAAATAAATCTCAATTCTGAAAGAGTTAATATCTCGTACTCAATTCTACATTAACAAATTCTATAGAAACATTTCACGTATCTTTCTAACTATTTCCTGTTCTTAGAATAATTGCATATTGAATTCCCATTTTTACACACGACAGTGATATATACCTTCTTCTGTATGAGTAGCTCCTTGACCTCACTATGACATAGTATCTAATTGTGTTCATCGCAGTAAAAGGATCTGTTTTTTATTTACTTCTATTTATCTGAGTAACTTCAGTTATCATTACCTAATGAGTGTCCTCGCCAATGTCTTCCCCTCTCTTGAGTGTTGACCTATGCTAACTTTTATCCATATTATTTTGTACTGATCTTATCTTCTTGTTATAAAGCTTCTGTCAGATGAATTTTATGAGGATGCAATTGCTGAAGTGGAGCCGGTGTCTTCTGATTGTTATCTAATTAGTAATCATTTATCTGGTTCAGGTGCTGATGGATGATGTCAATGCAGGGTATGAGCGTCTTGCAGAACTACAGGTACCACGAATTTTCCGATTAAAAATATACTTATGATTGTAATCTCCATTTTTTCTGATAATTCGCTCAACTTGACAAGCATCATAAGTGGAAGAAAATCAAATTGATGACAGATCTTTCTGTTCTTTTGTTTTTGGGGTGGGGGGTGGGTTTGGTGTGCGCGTAACCTCGAACACCCCATCTGAAAAAAATAGGTGCAACATGAGGACTTCCCACGAGGTCACCGCTCCTTGCACAATACTCGCCCAAGCCAATTTAAGTGCAAAGTTCTTATGGGATCCGGTTA